AGTTAAGGTTTTGTCTCAGTGCAGAAGACGGGCGTCTGATTGGCTGGAAGATCTCAAGGCGTTGGCCAACCAAATGTGAATAAGAAGTTCAACTATGGAGGAAAACATCATGATACAAACTTTCTGTCGCTCTGTTTGGTAGTCAGTCCTTTACCTGCAGCACGTCCAAACAAAACGAATCGAAAGGAAATGTCCTGGTTGCTTTCTGGCTGTTGTTTACGCACTGAGGTTTCTTACACTGGTCCAATCTCTGAACGTCCTTCCATTGTGTAAAAAGAGACAGTGTGTAAGTCAAATCAAATTAACCACCTCCCACTTAAAAAACTCATCCACACTGCGCTCATTGGCCCAAAAAACGTTTCAATTGTTTCAATTTATGTTTTGCCTCTGAAAAACTGTGTCCTGTTTTCAAACTACTGAATCAAATTCAGTATCAGAACACATTTGAGATTGAAGACTCTCGAGTTACGCTAGACCCCTGAACTAAGAAGCGTGATTTGAAACGGTCACCTCGTCTCGAATGACTGATTTTGCAGATGTAAATTAACATTCTTCTATTTTTAAACGGAGACTCGCTCAGTATTTTAGTGATGAACAAAGTCGTAGTTGTTATGGTAACGTTTAACATGTAAATAGTTGAGAAAAGGACAAAAATCGATATCAAGATCATGTTGTGAGTGACAAACACTTAGCAAGCATAGCTAGCTAGCTGTTTGTTTCAATTTGGAGGCATTTCCAAATTGTATGTTGATAAATAGTCATAAATCCTGATATGTTCTGAAACCATTTTCAGTCACAGGAGTACTTTAACATGTACAGAATCAAATCAGCTAGCTCTTAGGAAAGGACTCGACTTGGAGCCTTGTGTCCCTGTGGATCATTTACGTAAAATTGTAACCTTTGTTGGTCTTGGCTCGGAAAGATGGCATATTTTTCCAGCGGAAGGAGAAGGCTCCAGTCAGGCACGTCGAACCAGACACACCCCCTACCCAACACTACAAACATAAAAACTACAACTCAAGTCAAGGCAGTCACATGATCATCCCAGAGGAACCCACATCCATGTTTATGGACAGTCCCGACTGTGGTGTGTACGCCCCAGAGCCAGAGCCAGCAGGGTTCTAGCATCGTTCAGCATGTCTAAAAAAAAGGGTTCCAGCACTTTGTATCTGATACACAAAGAGCTGTAAATGCATTAAGCGCATTTCGCTGCAGCACTTCAGTCAGCAGGTTGCACCTTTATTGAATCTGCGCTCTGGTGCTTTCCCCATGGCTGCATTGTTCATGGTGTAAAGTGCTGCGTAGGGCACTTTCAATGGAGGTCAGAGGCTTTAAATAGATCTTGTGGGTTAAAATTTTATGAAAGCAGAAGCATTCTTTGTCGCAGTGGTAACAGTGGTGAAAGCTTTGCTCATTTTAATGCCGTGTGTCCAATTCCAATCCCAAATCTAATGCTTTTTAGGAGAGCTGTTTGGAAAATCTTTAAAATTTGTCATTATTAATTCTCAGTTATGGTATAAGGATGTACATTGTTTGATTGCGTCCAAATTTGCCAAGAACGTAAGCTCATTTTACACACTAATCTCAATACTGGTGCATGTTCATTAATGGAGAACTTCTTCTCTTCTTGTCTTAAAAGATTCTGACTACAACCCTTAATTCGTTACGGCAAATGATCAGCTATGAGGCCATGCAAAGATGTGCAAAGCCAAATCAAACTGGGACAGAAGAAATAAAAGGAGTCTTAAGTGTTCAAAATGTGTAAAAATACGTCATCATGTCTTTAGCGTATCTGCGAGGGATGTTGTGAAGAACGTTGAGTTGAACTCCCCTGCTGTCTGTTAGAGCCTTGACACAGCAAGCCGACTGAGAAGCCATCGCTAAGCGTTTAGCCGACTGTTGCGTGTTGCGCACGTCATGTGTTTTGCGTTGTTGGTACTTCTCGGATCCTGTTAACCCCAATTTCAGCCAGTCATAGCATGGATTCCTCTGAAGCTCTGCATAGAGCATGCTAACGTAGAATTCCAAGCTCTAGTGTTCAACAACCCACGGTTGTAGCATTTACAACATTGGTGATGCATAACATACTTTTTAGTACAGTAGTATTCCACTCGTGACATGCCATACGACATAACTGGAACGTTTTCTTTCACGCTTACGTAGAATGTCTGTGGTCGTCATTTGAGGTCTTCACGATGTGTTTGAGCACACAGATTCATAAAAGACAGCAACTATAGGAGGAAGTTATTTGAGTTTTGAGTATAAACCCAGATTACTCACTACTGCCCCCTCCTGGTTTTTCTGCATGCAGACGCAGAACGTACTTGTGTGTTGGTTGTCATTTGTTGTCTTTGTGGTACGTTCTAGGTCAACTTTGCGTGAAAGATGTGTGACAGTAGAAGGCAGTTGTTAGTCTGTGTTCATATTATTTGTATTATTACGAACGATTACTAATGATTACATGCATTCTTGGTCGTTTTCGGAAAAGACGTGAGATGACAGTGAGACAGTAGGAGGCAGTTATTAGTGTATCTTTATATTATTATTTGTATTATTAACTATACAAACTACTGCCCCCTCCTGGTGTGGAGAGGTTCCCTTTTACGCAGATGCAGAACGTTTGTGCGTTTTTTGGTGTTCGTTTGTCGTAAATTTTTGGAGGAATTGGATGAAGTCATCAGCGTATCTTGGTTGGCCCTCAGTGTTTGACGATGGCTTGTTGTGTCACGGCTCTTAAAAGCCACAAAGATCACTGAGATTTGATTTAAATGCCAAAGTGTCACTTGACGTTGGCGTCATCCTCATTCTGAAAGTACAAGTCTGAGGACTTTAATCTAGAGCGGAGTCATCTTTAAATTGTTTGCGTAATTAATTGTCCAGATTGTAGACTCTGGCCTTGATATTGTGTAGTTCTTTCCTTCTCCCTGTCCCGTCCTGTCATAACCCTCATGGTTTGTGGTGTACAGTGTTTTCTAGCGTTCCACCTCCTCATGCTGTGTGTCTGACCGATTAACCCTTGCACTCACACACCTTCTCCCCTGTGTTTAACACTGATAATGTTTGTGACGCTCACAGACATGGTTGTAAAACTAAGAATTCTGCAGCAGAATATTTTTTTGGAGACATTCTTGCTTGTACAGTATTTGTAAGCTCTATTTTTGTATATTTAATTGACATTTTGGAGAAAATAAAAAGAGAAAAAAAGAAGGAAGATGTTCTTTTATTTCATTTGTTGTTTTGCTAATTTTGTTTTATTCATTTAAAAAATGTTGCATGTGATTGACTTGAACTGTAAATAAAAATTACCACATTTTGGAGGTAATAAAAGCAAAATCTTTGCACTGTCATTCTTGCTTCATTTCTGCCAGAGACATTATCAGGAGAGGAGATAGTTCACTGATTAAATAATGCTTAACATGGCAGCTGTATCCTGCTACAGGAAATCCAGCCTTTTTATTAAAAGATCCAGCCCTTTTTTGTTGGTAATGTCTCTGCTCAAAAAAATCAGGTTCCAAAGGTTCAACTTACAATAATGTTTATACTGTCGTATAAACCCATTAACGGTATCAGGTTTGATATCTCGTAGCTCGCTACCTTGCAGAGTTGGTTGTTGGTGGCCACACCCCCTAAATCAGCATCATATAGTAATCAAACAAAGGAATCAAATCCATATTAATGAGCTAATCAACTCAATATCAATGAATGAATCAAATCTGATTCAATGAACAAATCAAATCCAGATCAATGAATGAATAAATTCTAAATCAATGCACTAATCAAATCCAAATGAATGAAAAAAATCTAATCTGAATCAGTGAATGAATTATATCATAATCAATGAACTAATCAAATCCAAATGAATAATCCAAAATAAATAATGAATCAAATCTGAATCAGTGAATGAAATGAATTATATCCTAATGAATGAACAAATCAAATCAGAATCAATGAACAAATCAGTGAATGAATCAAATCCAAATCAATAATTGTATCAAATTCAAATCATTGAACTAATCAAATCCAAATTACTGAACAAATAAAATCCGAATCAGTGAATGAATTATATCCTAGTCAATTAATTTATCAAATCTGAAACAATGAACAAATCAATGAATGAATCAAATCTGAATCAGTGAATGAATCAAATTCAATTCAGTGAATGAATCAAATCCGTGTCAGTGAATGAACCGAATCTGTCAGCTTGGAGATTTCTTTTGGCTTTATAGGTCTCTCTCATCCATGTATTGAGAATAATGACTTTGTGTGTGTGTGTGTGTGTGTGTGTGTGTGTGTGTGTGTGTTGCTATATTTCACAGATGAACAGATCAGCCTCCAATTCATTAAAAAATAAAGTAAGAAACCTAACAGAAGCTGAGAGTTACATAACCCACGTTGGCGTCTGTAGCAGACTGAGGAACCTGTCACACACACACACACACACACACACACACACACACACACAAACAGTGCTGTCACTGCGGCTTGGCTGGACTTCCATTAATCAGTCCTTTGTCCTGGATTCACACCTCGAGAGCTGAATTCTCCACTGAACTTTTAACAAGAAGAAAACTCTAAACAGGAGCCAAAAAACTCTGTTAAGTTCATTTTCACCAACTTGAGAGGAAACTGGTATGATCTTTGTGACAACTGTAAACTACTTAATACTTACTAATTATACTTATTATAATTGGTTAGCTAATTATTTCCTTATATTGATAATATGTCTATAATACTTTAAACACTGAAAGTAAACATGTGTTGGGTCACAATATCTGAAAATCCATCCATCCATCCATTTTCTTACACAGGATCACAGGGAGCCTGGAGCCCATCCCAGGGGCACAAGGCAGGGGACACCCTGGACGTAGTGCCAACCCATCGCAGGGAACAATCACACACACACTGTGGACAATTTGGAAATGTCAGTCAGCCTACAACGCATGTCTCAGGACTGGGGGAGGAAACCGGAGTACCCGGAGGGAACAAACTCCAAGCACACAGAGCGGAGGTGGGATTCAAACCCCCAACCCTGGAGGTGACAGGCGACAGTACTAACCACTAAGCCACTGCGCCCCCATCTGAAGATCCTCAGCACAAAATAAAATTTTAAATAAAATATAATGTAATTCTGAGGAAACCCTGCCCCAAAGTGAAATTGACTGATGGGTAAATTAGTCACGTGACCGTGTACCTGAAATCTGGACATGTGTTTCACTTCACATGGGTGTTTTTTGTGCTCTAACACACTCATCAGCTTAATAAATCCTTAAAACAATCAATTACACAGGGTGTGTGATAGCAAAGTAACTAAAATGATGTAATTTATAAAAACATATCATGTATAATGTATATGTGGGGGTTTGAGGCACAATAATTATATCTCATACATTTATTAATAGTCAGTAATGAAAAGTGTCTTTATTTGGGTCAATTAATAAGTTGTGTACTGCTTCCCCCTGGTGGCCAGTGTGCACTCAGGAAACACTTTCAGTTAGCTAACAAACTGATACTTGGTGTCTTTAGTCATGCACTAGAGCTTTAAAGCTAATGTTGCTAACAAGTAAGAGAACCTTATAGCCCCCAGTTTAGCATCACGCACTAAATGCACATGTGTAAACCTTCACACAGCGGCGTCTCCTCAGTCAGCTTTGTGGAGTTGTTCAGTGTCTTGAACAGTTGTTGATGTGGTTTCTGATGCTGCATGACATGATGTTATCTATAAACATGGACAAAAAGATTAAAAAAAAAACAGCCATAGCACCATCACTATAGCTTTCCTTACTTTGGACATCCAACATTCAAGATTAATTTTCAACATAAACATCAGACATTTGTAGAAAAAAAATACTTTCAAGGTTTTAAGATGAAGCAAATCACAGAATTGATGGAACAAATCCCAGTTAATGGTGTAAGAGGCCATGCTACACCACCGGCAGCCAGCAGAGGGCGGCAGCAGCACACAGTGAGAGAGAACTCAGTTACCCAGAATTCTCCAGGCTGATTAACCTGGATTGCCTGCACCTGCCAGGCAGCATACTTAAGGCCAAGCTTTGACCCAGTACTTTGTCACACCTTTGTAGAGGGGTGACTGGTATGGTATGTCAGGGCTTTGCCTGAGGAAAGAATAAAAGAAAAAGAAGAGAAAAAGGAAAACAAGAATTAGAAAAGAAACTGAAAAGAAAAGCAGAAAGTGGAGAAAACAAGGGAGAGGAGAAGTGCGGTTTAAGGCATGGCCAGGGAAGGAGAAAGAAACTGAGACAAAGATATAAGACCCAACTGAAAAGAAAAGAGAATTAATGGATAAGAAGCATCTCTGGGGGAAAAATATATACCTATATAGTGAAAACAACCCCTGAAGAGTCTGTGTTGTGGGAGCCCATTCTCATTTCGATGCTTTATTTGTCCCTATTTAGTCAAGAAGATTTTTATTTGTCAGATTCCTTGAGAACGCCATTTTGGCATCTCCTTTGTTTGCTTCTGTCCCACTTTTCCCCCAGCTCTGTGCTGTAGCAGTGTCTTCTCCATCTCTAGAAAAAACACCTAGTGGCTCTTTTTTCAAAGTGCACAAAAACACTCAAACCCTTCCCTAAACCTTCACCTTACCTATATATAAATCCTGCTTGTCCATTTATTTATAAGCAAGCAGCGGTTTTCTCTCTGCAGTCCACTCTGAACCGTCCCGTACCAAATGGATTCCACAGCGCTGTTGGATTCTGGATTCTGATTGGTCAGAAGGTGTTGATTAATTTTCTATAACAGCAGCTGTGACAGTAGTGCAGCTGCAAATCACAGGTTTATGTTGAAATTTTGTGTAAGATGTTTAACATTTATGGAAGGAGTCTCCAGTGTCAGCGCTTTGTAACACTCAGAGGTAAAGCTGTAAATTGTCGTTTTAGGACATGAAGTAATTTAGACTTTACAGTTTCTCGGTAACGTGACAAAAAGCTGCACAAGCGTTTTGTCTTTTTAACTAAGAGAGGCTGGTGAGAAAACGACTGTTTATAGCTTCTATAACGTATGAGATAACAGGAACGAAGCTGTTTCGAGGACTTTCCACGACATTTAAATGTAACTATAAATGGATAATGAGTTTGATTGGTCGTTCATTAATAAATAAATTGTAATCGTTGGTAAAGTGCAGTGGTGTAAGAGGAATAAAGCACTTTGGGGTGTGCTGTTACAGGCAAATAACTCCAGCATGGTCCAGTGTATTATGATGATACAAAATGAACAGTTGTAGAATTTGTAATAAAAAATCACACGGACACAGACATGCCATTTTACATCTTTTTTAACTTTCATTGGCTGTATTTTGGAATAAAATTGCATGAAACCCAGAATGTAAACATTTGTATCTTATAATCACACACGTGTTGGCGAGTTTAATTAAGAGCAGGCAAAGCTAGTGAAGCGAGCGATGGAGTTCAGTCAGCAGAAATCAGGCCAGGCAGCGACAGGAAGGTTTGTACAGGAGTGTTGGAGTGACACGGCGGTGCTCCGTGTGCAGTCTGTGTAAAAAAAAAAAAAAAAAAAGAGCAACCGTCGTTTGTACACCGTGTTCTCAAGGATCCAATGTGCCGAAAGTCTGAAATCCTGACAGATGGATGTAAAGTACATTCACAGCAGGAACATGTGCAGAAGAGATACAGCTCCATACATAATGCTTTACACTTTAAGGGGGGAAAAAAATGCTTTGGTGAAAAACATGACAATTTTCCACTTGTGACAAAAATGTGTTCGGTGTCCAGTATTTGGTTCTTTAATTTCACGCTGGAGCTTCGAGGCTAATGTGGCTAACAAGTCTGTCTCGCACATTGTTTTCCATAAATACATAAATACTCAAACATTTATTCATATATACTTACTTTAAACAATATTGTTAAGCTCCATAATGTTAGTTTGGTAAATAATTTTGTAAACATAGCATTGAATTTCAACTTTTTCTGGTCGTTTTTATCTAACATTACCTAGCATTAGCAAATAGCTATGTTCATGCTAAACATTAGCACATCTCTTCCTAATTTTAACAGAACTGAAACAGATGTTTTTCAGTTCATTCAAATTCCAGTTTCCTCAGATGCATGGCACTTTTATGTACGCAGTTGCCTCATTTCCAGGTTTAGTTGGAGAAATTCGTGCTTTCTGAAACGCTGTACTCACATCATATGGAGGGAAAAAAAGATAATTCCCACCTTCCCACTGAGGAAAAAAAAAAAACATTCACAATGAACCCTAAGTCAGAATTTTGGGACGTTCCAGACAGCCCCAATTTCATTTACCGAACCTGGAAGTTAGACAATTGACTAAGGAACTAATCTTGGAATTTTAGTTTATACGTATTTAACATAAACGCAGCTCTGTGCTAATACTAACTAATATTCAATAAAAAAGTAGAACCATTAAAAAAAAAACATAATTGGTTGACATAATTGTTTTTTTATACGCTGTAAGGTGGAAGGTGCAAATTTGCTGTTATTCCCATCCTGTAAATGTCCAAAATGGCCGCCCCATAACTTCAAAATATTCAGCTACATGGTCACACCAGGCATCTGTTTGCTAACCGACATCATTTGTGATAAGTGGAAAATTTAGGTTTTTCGCCAAACTATTCCTTGGCACAAAGCTGATCATACTGTAGATAAAAAATATTCCAGAGGCATCTTACAGGCGTAGCCAGCACTGAATCCAGAAGAAGAGACAGAAAGCAGGAACAGAACATTTCCAGTAAATGATGAAAGTAAAATCATGACACTGATATTGATCTGTACAGTATAAATAGTGTATAGCAGTGCAGGAATGTGCGATTCCACAAGTTTAATCAGGAAAACGAGAGCAATCTTGTTCTCACACTTCATTCTCACACACTGTGTCATAAATATAATGTAGCATTGTTATTCCACGTACACGTCTCATGTGCAATGAAGATAAATAAACTACCGTCATATCGGCGTCGTAGGCGCGCGTCGTCTCGACAGCGTTAATAAGAGCTCATCGTTTTCTTCGCATTATGGATACAGATCTTTACAGAACAGCCACACGAGAAAAAGGGCACGACACCGGGCACTTTAAAAACAAACACCACTAGAACTGATTTCTACAACGGCCTTCGTAGTCGATAAAACGGATGTGCTTGCACCGGTGCAGGCTGCACGTTCTGTAGGTTCCGTCTGGAGCAAATGGGACTAAAAGACGGAAATTACGTCACAAGCTCTGTTTCTATGTGCTAAGAATGCATGAAGAAGAAATATTCGGCTAGTTTATTGTCTAAAAATTGACACTGATGTACCAGAGATGGTTTCAGGACCTGTGGGTTCTCCATCATTAAGACTAGCCATTACCTTTACCTTAAATATGATTTATATAAAAGTAACCTATTAAAGCCTAGGTAAACTTTTTAAGAAGAAAAAAATCATTTCCACCACAGGAACCTTTTCTGGAACTCTTTCAGGAACCCAGGAACTTTTACCCAGCAGTGACATGAAGCGATAAAGCAAGCTTTCATTAATTTCCAGAGTCAAGGGGCCAAGCAGCCGCTAGTGGGCGGGGCAAAGGACACACAAATTGGGCAACTTTTAACTTCATGCAAATAAGAAGCCATTGTGGATGATCGAGGAATGTTTTCTCTTTCCTGGGGTTTTGATTCCTAATTTTTGTTCCTACTCCCAGATCTTGAAGTGTTTGTTTTACCCAAAACAGAACCTTTTTCATAAAGCAGTCATTCATTTTCAAAGAGCTGGAGACTTTCCAGCGCTAGGGGGCTAAGCAACCATTAGTGACACACTGGGCGGGGTGAGCGTGACACATTGAGCAAAGTTTAACTTTATGCATATGAGAAGCAAAGGGATTTGTTGAAGACCAATAAGAATGAGAGATGGTGGTGTTTCATGTTTTCTCCTCACTCAGAAACAGTATATTCATTTTTTTTTGTTTCCATATTCGTTCCTATTCGCAGCTCCAGACCCAGCTGATGAGACTTGCTGTGCTGCTACAAGCTGGAGGTTTGGTTTACCCAAAACAGAATCTTTTCCAGGAACTCGGCAACTTCACCCTGCACTCACAGCAGCACCGACATT